CAATGTACTGGTTTTTCCGCCTGCCGTAACTACAGGCGGAGCATTTGCCCGCCAGGACTGCCAGGTTAACCTCGCCTAAGACAACATCACCACCTAGACCACGGCCAGCACTGCTGGTAGCGGTGACGTCGAGGTTCAACCTGTGTTTCACTCGTTGGTGTCACACATTATTTCTTTTGAAAAAAAAAAACAGCTGGTCCTACTTGCAGGAAACGTCAAGTTGGGTTCTTTTTAAGGGAAAGTAAATTATTGATTTTAACAGCATTTCCTTTTTTTGGGAAGATAAATCACTGATTTCGTTTCATTTGAGGCGCTAATATCTCCAAGCTCCTTTGCTATCTTTCCATCTTTCCAGCACTAATGGCGCTATTTATTGATCATGCGTACGTCGCTTTTAGCAGTGAGGGTCAATCAACGGGGCTGCTGAATGCGCTGCCAGAAGCATAGGTGGTGTTTAGCGTTAAGGCATCTTGGCGGTATAGCGAATGAATAGAAAACGAATCTTTGTTCAAATAAATGCAGCATGCAGTCGTATTCTTTCGAATACCTTGTGTTCCAGACAGAACCAGGAGTATAAAGCGACGCGGTGTTAACTGCATTATCTGTGCTTTATTTGCGAGTGCAAGTGCAATGCGGCTGTTTCTGGTTGAGGATGCGCCAAATAGAGTACTCCAAAAGGGCATCGCAAAAAGCGGATTTTTCGTTTTCTAGGCAGGCAGTGTAAACGCTGTTCACACGCCAGAGTGAGACATCATGTAAAGATATTTTATTTTGACTACAAGGTTTTCGTTGCCCAGCATCTGCAAGCCGGAGCCCCTGCAATGGGCGTTATGACGACGAGCGAGGACAGTTCTTGAGTTTGCAAGCTTTGCGTCCTGGTTGCAGCATAAATCGCAGCAGTGGTTGTCATTGGGCAACAACTGCCTCATCGTTGCTTGCATGCGCCATGAGCAAATGATAGTTTTGCCACCGGTACGTTGCTAGTTGCTGTCTTCTCGTGACGCCACAATGCTCCGACAGTTAACGCAGAAGCCGTTCTTTGATACCGAAAATAAAAGTGCTGTTTTATGGTAGTGGCATTGGAAGCATACACGTTGCATTCGCCAGCACTTCAGCACTCTTTTAGGTTTCTCAACACCACCAATTTTATTTAGAGCACCAGACGGAAAATTTTGAAATTCATGTCAGTACTCTTGTAAGTCACACAATTAGAGCAAATAACAGCTAAATAAATAATAATGGAGGCAGGTTACGATAGGACTCTCTCCAAGAGTATAGCGGTAACAGCTACCATGAGAGATCATATAAAAAATACTTTCTGATGACAACAGCGTGAAGAGGTGAGAGTGAAAATCTGCGTTTGAATTATTTCATTGGTTTTCATTTCACAAGCATAAAAGTTGTGCACATTTCGTTTACGGTGACAGATGCTGTCTATCGAAAGCCCGCTGCCTCAGCACATCAGTTCGCAAGGGCAGGTTGAAGTTCGCTTCAAGGCATCTCTGTTGTATTTGCCGCTGATACAGAAACTAATTGATGCCTGTTATTCAGAGTTGCATGATTCATCTATTTTGTAGTCACTCCTAATAAACAGTTGATAGGCATCAAGAAGCCCAAATGGTAGATTTCTTTTGTATGCAATTTTCCTAATAAACATTTGAGCATAGTTTGAAATGTAATGTTGATTGACAATTATGTGGGGTTGAACGTCCCAAAATCACTATTCGATTATGAGAGATGCCGTAGTAGAGAGCTCTGGAAATTTCGACCACCGTGCACCCAAACCAGAGCACATTGCCTTACCGCATTTTCACCTCCATCGAAAATGCAGCCGCCACAGCCGCGATTTGGTGTGGTCACCTGCGAGTGAGCAGCCGAGTACCTTAGCCACTAGATGAATCGTAATGTTGTACTGCAATTATTTTTCAACCATCAGCATATAAATTTCCGTTTACAGGAAGAGCTTTCTCTATATTTTATGTACGATAAGCTTTACGTGAGATGCCAGTCCAACAGGTAGTAATAGCCTTATTCTTAGAGCATGAATAAGCAACAAACTATGGTGAAAATAAAAAGGGGAAAATCACTAAATGTGTTGCTGCTACTGTTTACCTTTGTTCTTCCAATTTCAGATTCCGTTTATGCCTTTCGTTTTGTGCAATGTGCGGCAAAACGTCGATATAGCGGTACCCCCCGGTAATGGCACAGACCGAGGCTCAAACGCTACTGAAGCTTTGCCACCAGAGACAGATGTGACTGCAGTTGGTGACTCTGAATCTCCTACGACTTCTGACGACGCTGACTCAGTTGACGACAGCTCCAGCAAAACTGCGTCATCCAACGTCAACGATACGCTGGGTTCACTTGAAGCTTCACCTAGCAATGACAATGGAAACGAGAGTGTGGACGCGAGTGCTGACGCATCTTGAGAATATTCTGATTGTAAGGCCTTAATTGTGTTTTGAAAAATAAAAAGGAAAATGGCAATGAAAGTGTAAAATAATCAGACAAAATAAGTGATCACTCAGTTATCACCAAATCACATGTGACTCTATAAAGCCCTATGTAGATTACGTTGTACCACAAGATCTTAGAAGGATTTATTTGAGGTGGCTTCGTCTTGCAATGAAGGTGGCTCATGCTGCCTGCCCTCTGTTGGCTCCACAATGTAGATAGTGTTGGCCCCTTCCTTACGTGGCTATCCGCCTAGTATTGTCGGAGCTATGTGAGAGCTATGCCACGTCTCTGCTCTCTGTCTCTGTTTCCGCTGGTCTGCTTTTTCTAATTTTTTCTAATATCGACGTTTTGTGGCTTTTGTAGTTTGCTATTTATGTACCAACTTGCCTAAAAAGCAACTCTCATGCATATGTGGGAGCTATCACCTCGTTTTGGAATCGCCAGTAGAAAAATGTGTCATGTAAATAGCTCCCTAGAGACCTAGTCTGAGAAGGAAAAAAACATGGCTTATCCTTCTATCTAGCAATTGTCGTATGGTGAGCCAAGCGTGTCTGCACACAGGCAGTTGAGCATCTAGTGTGCTTTGTTTCACCACAAGTGTGCGCAAATGATCGCTACAGCAACAAACTGCTGTAAAAAGAAAAACAGCATGAATCTCGAAACTTGCAGCATGTACCTCAAGCAGGAAGTACGCAGATTATAAACATACACAGTACGAGCGCGAAAGGTCACAGCTCTTACTTTTTTGCGTGAGAGCAGCGCGCTTTATTCATAAATGTGACAGCAGCAGCGAGTAAAGTGACCTTCACAATTCCTTTAAAAAGTGTAACTAGAAAGCATATTCAGGAGCGAACAACCTATTTTCTAGACACAGACATTCAAGCGGGAATTTTCTCACAGCATCTAGCAATGCAAAAAAGTTTATTCAACAGAAGTAACATCAACAGTACAAGGTATCTGTTCATGTGATCGCCATAAGAAACAGTGCGACAACGTCAAGATGACGATAAAGCAGCTAGAAGATTTCACAAGAGGTCGTGAGTTTGAAGCAAAACAGGGACTGCATGTTGAAAGACCGCAACGTTCGTTGTGGCGTGTTGCCTTTAGAAATAAATTTCCCATCTTCTCTTACTGGTGGAAGCGCGATTAGGTTGTATTTAGCTATCAATGGGTCTTTAGACGCGTAGGAGGTAATTTTGTAACTTATCTGTTTCAGATAATGCAATACAAAAACCGTGACCCGTCTTGAAGTTACCATGTCCTTCTCACTGCAGCACAGGAACACTCAACATTCTAGCCGAATTGACGGAGTTGTGTAATACCACAAACACTCAACATCCCTGACAGTTCAATGCTAATGATATTGTACTAGTAATTATCGAAATTTTAATGATATCCGGATTTACGTAGAAGATTTGATACCTGGGCCAGTTCATTCATGTTACTCGAAGAAAAGCCAGCAAGAGCAGAGGGCGCCATTAAGAGCCAGACGCACACAACGCTGGAGACATGCGGTTTGTGCTTCTTTATCGTTTTCTGTGGTTTTGCTGGCTTTGCTTCAAGGCTTTATTGAAAAGATCTCATACATTTAAATCAGTTATGACGCTTGGTAATTAACTTATACACGGCAAAGAAGTGTGGTCCTCACGCTCACCCAAGTAAAGTTTTCCATCGCACCTTCTATATTCCTGTATGCATAGTTGCTCCCCTGTTTCGATCTATTTTCTCACTGGAAATTTTTCAGACATTAAAACTTTTTTGGCCAATGGGTCCTTTTGACTGACTTAGCACTCAATGTTATTCAGTAATTTTATTGATACTTTTTATCGGGAAGCTTGTTTTCTTCGAAAGGAAACAATGGGAGGACGTTGCGCATGAAAGGTAGCATTTAACGCTGTTAAATGCTATCTTTCGAGCGCAACGACAATGACAGTTGGCTATTGATATTCGCACATTCACAGATTTTATAGTTTTTTTTTTCACAAAAAACTTAAAGAGTAAGGGCTAAATGCGCGAGCGTGCACCTGACGTAGCCCCTGGCCATTGTACAAGCAGTTCTAAAAAAGCGATATTATATTTCATAACAAAAACACTTTATTTAGACACTAAGCACATGATTGAGTAACAAACATATTCCACATCAATAATAATACCAAAATAGATAACAATTGGTGATGTATTTGCGTGCTTTGCTGGCAAAGATTGTCGAAAGAGGATAGTCTTTCCTTTTGACCGAGATAATATAACGCTTATCTGACGTTCTGCACGAAAGAAACGGCGAGTAGACTCTGTGTGAGATACAGATGCCATTCAGCAGCACTTTGAAGAAACGAAGTATTTCTAGAACGCAGTCACTGGTACGTGGCAGAACCTTGTAGTGTTAGGTAGGAGCTTTAGTTTTAGTGAAGTATAGGAATTACCAATTTTTTCCCGTCATAGGGTCACATTTCCACAGCCATGTGATAAGCACTGGAGTATATGTATTTACAATCTATGCATTTTACAAACAAAGTAACACACTACTTGATGGCCCAGTACAAATGTTGCACAAAAATATGTGTATTGTTTTTTTATTGATTATGTCATTACGTCTGAACGTAGAGGCCAGATGAAGATGGCTGGTCACTTAGAAAGAGATAAAGCTTTCGCCGCCCTACCTTGTCGGGCAACACGCACAAAATCAAAAAAAGACAGATGAGGAGACCAAATTTTCTGCATCGAAGCATCCAAAGAAAGACTATCGTACTTATAAGTGGTGAAAGTAGAAAGGGACAAACGAAATATACAATATAAAATTCGATCTGCAGTCATCGGCCCTGAACTGTACTTTACGCCCCATAAGTGAAATGTACATTGATGTAACTGCACATTGCGATAGCACGTGTGCCCTACGTAGTCAGAATAAATGAACAGTATTTTCGATAAATCTAGCCGCTTCGCTTTAGACATATACACGATGTAGTAACCCTAGGACATGGTACATTGTCCTCAGTGGTTTCGTTCAGAGATGTCCAAGAAAAATAGTGAATACGATTGGATAGGGAGAGGAAATGTGAAACAATGTTTACAGACTTTGTAACAAAAACTATGCACCAAATCCCCGCCTTGCTTGAAATTGTTCATTAGTCCTAAAGCTCCTTGATCCTGGGAAAGTAACGACACTCTCCTCTACACGCGTGTTTCCTCCTCAATTTTCTTCACCCGCTTGCTCTAGGCGTGGCGCGTGGCGCCGTTTTTTGACGCTCCCGCGGGCGCCCGCAGATTTATTGAATGTGGGTTATTTACGGCAGCTTCCGCGCCACAGTAGTGCTGAATTTTTTTATGGTGATAATTAAACTAGAAACACTGAAGCAACCGTTTATTGAAGGATTAGCTTCTTCCAACCGTCGAATAAATGGGGCTTGCTGAATAAATAAAAGCTTTTATGGGGAGTTGTACGATGCGGATATTTTTCTGCCACATGATAGCATATTGTGCGTTTGCATATGATGTAGTTCCGCTTGTGGCATATCCACTTGTGGCGTGTACGACCCGTCATTTTAGCGCTCAATTTTTCAATAGGTTTATTCGCAAAACTACGCATATTATTAGTGTCACGAACACTAATCTGTGCAAGCCAAATAGGAAAACAGGAGCACTGCAGGGAAAAAGTAATCACTGAGCTAAGTCGTCATGTAGCAGACAGGGCTGTAATTAATATCGGCATCACACATTTTTATCGCAATAAGACCCGTTCCGGATCAAGTTCGATTCGAATGAGGTGCTGCTACGGTGTCGCTTATAATCGCGATCACACCCGATTGGGATCAAGATCAGCATAATCTGCGCAGCAGTAGCGACCAAACATTTCTATTCAGACTAACTGATCTCGGTCAGAAGTACCCATGTGACACTGGTATAAAAGATAATAAAGTTTCCTTTGGGTAATGGAAGACATGTTAATGCAGGCGTGACCAAAGCAATTGTGGCCACGGTCTCCAAGAATATGGCTCACTTTCGGTATCACTGTGCTGTATCGTTTTTTTTTGCGTTACGCCTCCTCATTTCTTCCCTTTTTTGATAAACCGCATCTATTTCATGATTTTTGTGTGTCAATCCCCTCTTCCCAAAAAACAAAAGAAACGCCCTTATGAAAACTAGCGCCAATTAGTGTCTTCTCTATTTGTCTATTCTTTTGTTTTCTTCAAGCGTTCTAGTACACAAATTCTAACAGTCACATAAGTTGCGATAGAGAAGCTGCGTGACTCCATGTAATTGGTTGTAGCGAAGGCAGACTGCAGTTGTGCATTTTTGACAAATTTTGAGGTGCGAGCGAGGCGATAAAATATGAGCTGAATCTTTTTTTATTTTTTATTCACTAATTTATTCAACCCCACATATCCATCAAATAATTATTTAAACATACTGTAGACCAGCACTTTGGTCCAGGCAGGAGGGGCATAAGAAACATCAAGTGACTCGTACCAGCAAACAAAAAGAAACATGTATCTTCATGCTAACAGAAGTCACATGTGTGTGAAGCAGCAACAAAATTTACAACACATTTGAACACTGTAATCCCCAAGTAGATAAGTTTTCAGCTATACAGCAAAACTATCAGAAGAAAAAATCTCATGAGGAAGTGAATTTTAGTCATCAACTAATCTAGAAAAATAACTATGTTCGTAACCATCATCTTGTGCAACTATGAGTGCAGCTGATCGATCATGTTTTCGGTGGAGATTCCTAGTAGTGGCTGGTTGAACGCAACAAGGTACATTTATGGCAACTTTCCCTGCCATAGTTTTGTGTAAAAATGGTAAACGAATAAACCTTCTTTTTGTTTCTAAGAAAGGATTTCAGCATATTGATAACTCCAGTTTGAAGCATCACACAAATAGTCAATAAAAAATCACAGCATATCACCGAGGTGAATGATGACGAGTGGGGCGAAGAGTGTAGACGAACGGACGCACAGACGAACAGATGGATGCACACACGGATGAATGGATGGACGCACGTAAGCACGGAAACACTGATGAACAATTCGTCGCACTCATCGTT